GCCCTCGCTCTCGCTCTGACAGCCGCCGCAGACAGCCTCCTCCCCGGGGGCCTCGACCCAAGATCGCGCTGAAGCCCGATCAACAGAAGTCTGCCTAGCACAGCTGAGAAAAAGACGGTTTTCTCCCGCTGCGGCCGGACCGCCGTCAAAGCTTCGCCCACTGTTAGTCCCCGTCTCACCGCTGACTGCAGTAGTGTTTACCGCCACAAACAAGCCGGTTTCCCTGCCCGCTTGCGAGCGACTAAAAGCCGTTTTTCACGGCTACCCAGAGAGTTCACAAAAAGAGCATAAAAGCCTCAAGTGTAAAAAATGTGCCCACAAGCATGTGCTCACGTACACACACAAGCACTTTATGCCCAGGGTCTCTCACAGAGCCCATTCTCACGGATCGTGCACTATCCGCTCCAGTAGCAGAGAACATAAGCACGCCCACGAGCCCGTGCGCGTGTCCCCCCTCTGCCCGCTCTGTCACACGGCCCATAAACTCCTCTCTGAGTGTAAGTCCCGTTGCCATCCACATTATAAGCGTGCCCACACCCAGTGTCCAGCCCGCTATGTGCAGCAATCAGGGCGAAATCGCCATTCAACCGCTAGCCGCATGCTACGAAGCGTGGGAAGCCATCCCCGGCATCTCCCCGTGGGTTTTAAGCATAATAAAGAATGGGTATTGATTACAGTTTCGTCGCCGCCCGCCACGCTCGCGCGTGCGGCTCGAATCCACTGTCAGCCCGGCTGCTATGAACACGCTTCGCTTAGAAATAGCCAAGCTACTGCAGAAGGGCGCTATAGAGAGAGTCCCGCCATCTATGACCGAGTCGGGGTTTTACGGCCGTTATTTTCTGGTTCCCAAGAAAGACGGCGGCCTCAGGCCGATCTTAGATCTCAGGGCTTTGAACAAAGCGCTCATGAGAGACCGTTCAAAAGGCTCACAGTCAGGAAACTCCTCGCGCACGTCCGCCAGGGGGACTGGTTCATCTCTCTAGACCTGAAAGACGCCTATTTTCAGATCCAGATAAACCCTCATCACAGGCCATTCCTACGTTTCGCCTTCGAGGGCCAAGTTTACCAGTATGCCGTTCTCCCGTTCGGCCTATCCTTAGCACCCCGTACGTTCACGAAGTGCATGGATACAGCGCTCGCCCCCCTGCAAAGTCAGGGGCTGCGCATACTGAATTATCTGGACGACTGGCTGATTCTAGCAGATTCCCAGACGGAGCTGCTGTCGCACCGCACAGTTCTCCTCAACCATCTGGAAGCGCTGGGATTCTCTGTCAACTGGACAAAGAGCTCTCTCCAGCCCAGTCAAACTATTTCGTTCCTTGGAATAGATTTGAACTCTATCACTATGACGGCTCGCTTATCCACACAGCGCGCGCGCCGTGTTCAGCGCCTAGCCGCCTCGTTTCAGATGGGTACCCATACATCCCTGAAATCGCTTCAGAGGATGCTGGGTCATATGGCTTCAGCCTCCGCTGTGCTACAGCTGGGTCTTCTGCACATGCGCCCCCTTCAACTCTGGTTAAAGAGCCGCGTATCCCACCACGAGTGGACGACGGGCCGCCAGATGATCAAGATTACTCAGACATGTATCACTGCACTGCAGCCATGGTCAGTAATCGAGTGGTTTCAGAGGGGCGTTACCATGGGGACTTTTTCTCGCCGGAAAGTTATCTCGACAGACGCATCCAACTCGGGTTGGGGAGCGGTTTGCGAGGGCTCACCGGCCGCCGGCCAGTGGTCGAGCCACGAGAGTTCCCTACACATAAACTGTCTGGAAATGATCGCGGTCGAGAACGCGCTGCTGTGTTTCCTCCCGCGCATATACGGTCACCACGTCCTGATTCGCTCCGACAATATGGCCGTGGTATCATACATCAACCGTCAGGGCGGCGTCAGATCCAAGAATCTCTTTCATCTGACACGCCGCATCCTATTGTGGTCCCAGAGTCACCTGCTCTCGCTCAGAGCGACGCACGTACCGGGCCATCTGAACGACGGTCCAGACAGGCTGTCCAGGAACCTGGTCTCCCCCGGAGAATGGTCCCTGCACTCTCAAACAGTCCAAACGCTGTGGCGCCTATTCGGCAGAGCGGAGATAGATCTTTTCGCGTCAGAAGAGAACGCTCACTGCCCAATATTCTTTTCAAAGAGCGAGGACGCGCTAGCCCAGGATTGGCCCCGCCGCCCGCTCTATGCTTTTCCCCCGATTTCTCTGCTACCGCAGGTCATTCAGAGAATCAGGGACTCACGCCACACGGTGCTCCTCATAGCCCCGCGCTGGGAGAATCAGATTTGGTTCCCGGAGCTAACGCGGCTGTCACAGACAGCCCCGTGGCCCATTCCAATCAGAGCAGATCTCCTCACTCAAGCCCGCGGCTCGATCTGGCATCCCCATCCACAGCGCTGGGCGCTTCATGCATGGGTGACCAACGACTACGCGTCGAATTGCCAGAAGGGGTTTTGAACACGATCAAACACGCCAGAGCGGATTCTACCAGAAAGCTCTATGCTGCAAAATGGTCTGTGTTCTCCAAATGGTGCACCGACAAAAATTTGGACCCACGGACGTGCAAGGTTTCGTCTTTGCTAGTGTTCCTTCAGGAGATGCTGGATAAGGGCAGGTCCCCATCCACTCTTAAGGTTTACGTGGCAGCCGTCGCGGCGTTCGTTGAACCCCGGCGCGCCCAGTCTCTGGGCAAAGACGAGCTAATCATCCGCTTCCTCAGGGGAGCCAGAAGGATGAACCCCCCTCGCCCCCCTACGGTGCCGGTCTGGGATCTTTCTATAGTTCTAGAAGCTCTGAAAGCCCCACCGTTTGAACCACTTGAGTCCGTGGAGCTAAAATACCTCTCGTTAAAAACCGTTCTTCTGACGGCACTCGCCTCAGTAAAACGTGTGGGGGACATTCACGCGCTGTCTTCGAGCGCCGCGTGCCTAGAGTTTGGACCGAATGACTCCATAGTCATTCTAAAGCCTAGACACGGTTATGTTCCAAAAGCGATTGGTACCCCTTTCAGGGCGCAAGTGATCTCTCTATCGGCGCTGCCTGCATCCGATAGCGAACGTGACGCTGACCGCCTCTACCCGGTTCGGGCTATCAGAGTGTACACTACACGCGTTGCCGCGTTCAGACGCTCGGAGCAGCTGTTTGTGTCGTTCAGTGGCCGCACCAAGGGACTAGCCGCCTCGAAACAGACCCTATCCAGGTGGATAGTAGACGCGATTGCCTCTGCTTATGCCGCTAAAGACCTGCCTTGCACTCTGGGCATCAGGGCTCATTCCACCAGAGGCATGGCCTCATCGTGGGCATGGTCCTGTGGGATTTCCATTCACGACATTTGTGTGGCTGCGGGATGGGCCTCCCCCTCCACTTTTGTCAGATTTTATAACTTGGAAGTTCCAGCCTTACAGGCTAAAATTCTGGCGGTCTAGTACTCACAGCCCTCCTATAGAAGCCGTACTATCGGGAGTTCCATCACAACCGGCTCACCCCTTGTGTTCCCCTATGTGCTTATGCATTAGCCTACACATCACGGCCCGCTTCGCCGGCCGCCTTTGGGCGTTTTTGCACTAGATGATAACGGCCGCTATGCTGGCCGCCGTATCATCTTCATCCACTTATAGATTCCCCCGGTGTTTTCCCCCCTGGGATGCTTAGTGGTTACTTAGCGCGCACGGCGTTGACCAGGTGTTCCCGTAGCGTAAGCTAGCTTACGCAATACGAGAGAACCTCTCGTAAGAGAACGAATCGGTTACCTAACGTAACCTCGGTTCTCTCTAGATGAGGGAACGAGTATTGCGTTCCCGGCCGTGCTTGCGCCACTAGCGTTTCGCTTCATGCTACAGAATCAACGAACGAGCTGGGAGAGCGACCTTTATACACTGTAGCCACGCCCCTTTTGGCGGGCTGTGACGCAGTGAGCGAGCGCCGTCCGCTCATTGGCCGCGGACTCAGCGCCGCTCTCCCATAGGTTCGTGCATTCTCTCTGAGCGAACCAATGAGCCGCTAGCTAGCCCGCTCATGGTCAGCCTCAGAAGAGACTGCGTTGACAATGATTACAAAATTATGGAATAATTTTTTGGCTTCAACTTCTCAGCAAAGATGAATCTTTCCCGTAGCGTAAGCTAGCTTACGCAATACTCGTTCCCTCATCTAGAGAGAACCGAGGTTACGTTAGGTAACCGATTCGTTATTTATTGTATTTATTGTAAATTTTAGGAATAGCAAGAATGTTCCATAAAACTACCTTACGCTCAGGTAAGTTTACGTTAACTCTCATTGTGTAAGTAATAGGGTATAATTGCCGCAGCTCAATTTGTAACGTAAATAGTTTTATACGATTTTGTCTGACTTTGTGTAACTTTAGTCTGCAAGCAAACGTTACGTTAGCTATAGCTAATGTTATCATCCAGCTTGGTTATTGTACATTATTGTCAGTAACATTAACTTTCAATGTACAATAAATCTCATTGTTCTAGTTTACTGAAACACTGGCATAAAATGTAACACAAAATAAATTTGGATAATGTCTAACTGTTGGGTGTTTGTTTAACTTTTATATACCTGTGGTAAAAAATTACCAGTCATAAGTGAATGGATGAGAATACAATAAGTATATAAAATTACAGTCAGGCACATGTTTATTTTATCACATGGACACAGTTGAAATAACACAATGTTTAATCTGAGTATTTGTTATAGTCAAAATAATCCATACATTATGCTTTTAACTACAAAACAATTTGCATGACCTCAGATCAATGAGGCATACAGGCCATAAATAGCAAATAGAAGTTCAAAACTTGTCATGTTCACAAAAGATCTATCACAACATTAGGAGATGATACAGTATGCATTATTTTGGATTTATAAACTGCTATAATGTGGTGGTCATTTTGGACCAGGAACACAAAACTAGCTAACATGAAATTAACACAACAGTAGGGATAATGCTGTGTTGCCGGGCTACAATGACAGTCAGTTTAACATATTGTTTCAGGCAACGACATGGCTTCAACTAAGTCACACAAAGGCATGAGCAATGCTGACTGGATTGCGCGTCTGGAGAGTTTTGCCTGAACAGGAGTTTGGCCATCAAGGGAGGGGCATAGAGTTGGCATGAGTTGTATCAGAAGGTAAATTATGCAGCTAGATTCATTGGTGAACTAATAAACTTGTATGATAATACATTGTGCTATTTGTATTTATGTGTATGGATAAGTAATTATTTACAATGTAAATACATTGTAATATTGATATACAGTAATTAAGATGCTGTATGCCTGTTTTGAGATAACATGGACTACAGTGTCATAGCTACACTTTATGTTCACAGATAGAAAAATGTCCTCTGCAAATGAGGGGCCAGACCACCCTTCTGAAGGAAGTTCAGAACTGTATTTGTGGATTTCAAAAGGTAACTTCAATTAGCCTAGTATAAGTTGCATAACTAGATAGACGTGTTTGCAATATCAATGTGTCTTTATATCTAAAATTAGGCATTATAAGGAGTGTATAATATCATTTGTCTGATATATCTTAATGCATGTATCACAGGTTAATCCACCAGTCACAGTGGATGCATCACAGCGCACCCCTGCCCAAAGCACACCCTCCATCAGTGATGTCTCACATCCTGCAAAGAAAGCCAAACTCACGTTGTCAATGGTAAGCAGACCTTTCTTGAGGTATCACTGCAGACATTGAAACATCTCAACATTTTCCTATAGTGTTGCAGGTTTTGTTATCACTGACTATGACAAAACTTTTCAGTTTGAAAAGTCAAGGTTTTAAAAATAAAAATGTTAAAAATGGATTCAACTAAGAAGGTTAGAGGAGCTGCTTTAATGACTGTACTCCTATAATGAATTGTTAGACCAAAATAGCTTTATTTTTTTAGATGTTACTGATTTGGATGTATCTTGTATTTTTGCTATGTTTATTTTTTTCTTTTAGATCACCAAGAAGTTGAGTGGGCCTGCGAAAGGCACAGCACAGTGGCTTACCTCAGTAGGCAATGAGGTAGGTAAGGTGCTGATGAGTGTCCTGACTGCGAATGAAGTGGCTGGGTGTTGATCCTCCCACTATTCTGAATGTGGACTGTGACTGTTGCAAGGAAGTGGGAGAGACTAAACTGAAGAGGCGGCCCTGCGGCTGGCCCGACGTCATTGTCCGCCTAGACATTTGCCATTTTATGCGTCGTCTGGCAGGAGGGTGCACCACTGATGCCCACTAGTTGTACCCTACTTTTATGTCTAGGTTGTCATCCTGTATTTTTGAGTGGGACGCAGGGGATCTCACTCTGCTGAGAAGGGCCAAGAGGGAGCAACTCGCCCAACAGGGCTGGCCTGCAATGACGGCGGCAGAGCTTGACCGTCATATAAGCAAAGATGAGCTGGCCCAACACTGCAGGAGGAGAACACAAGTAGAGGAAACCACTATCCGCCTCCTTGATATGCTCATCAGAGAGCTCATGGGTGGCAAGGGGAATTACGCCCTTGGTGTTCCTCTCCTTGACAGTGTGAGGATGGAACACATCTGGCGTGTCCAGAGACGGCACGTCACCTGTATCCAGGACCCTCCAGATGTGCCACTCTACACAGAAACAGGAACCATAAACAAGGGTGGGATGGTTCTAAAAACGTACCGGTGTGCCAGAGGCTCCACATCCCTGGAATCATTTCACTGCCACCTAAACAGATTTATTCCAGGTTTGTCTTGACAGAATATACCACATCTTGTAACTAATTCCTGTTGATTTAGATATTTACAGTTAACAGATAATATTTTCTCTTTTGAAGTTTCTCAAAACAATGTTTGGGTTTCTATTTCCTTTTCTAGGGAACAGCGCAAACAGCCTGAACTTACAGATTTACCTCCTGGAAGGTTTGTTACGCTGGAATCAGGACAGGGCTGCAGCTGCTGTTGCCGGTGGAAGTTCAACCATGCGTATTTACACAGGGGATCTGGTTTACTCTGTCAATGAGAACTACAATAAGTTGTATGGAAGGAAATTAATCCCTAGCTTCACTCCACCTGCAGTATACACAGGTAAATATATTTTGATGAATGCAGTTCACAATGTTTTTGGTAAAATTACAAGGCTTCTGGACAAAAATAAAGTAATTTTTGACAAATCAGAGAAAAAGAAGAGTACCAGAATTTTTGGACACTGGATTCTTAGCCCCCCGGGGCCCGAAGTTTCGGGACCGCCGGGGCAGTTCCGCGTCGACCCCCTTGGGAGAGCCGTCCCCGGAACAGCCCACAAACCCACTAAACGTCCGACCGGCCACCGCTCCCACAGGGGGTCCGGCGACCCGCCCCGGCCCACCGGCCGGCCTCCGGACACGCCCCCGTCCCACTAACCCACTATTCGTCCGAAAACCCACTAAGTCGCGCAAACTCTCGGGAACGCCCCCCACCCACTCCCGGGCCACGCCCCCGTCCCACTAACCCACTATTCGTCCAATAACCCACTAAATCGGGCAAACGTCTCGGGAACGCCCCCCGCCCACTCCCAGGCCACGCCCCCATCCCACGAACCCACTATTCGTCCAATAACCCACTATATATACCAAACGTCCCGGGACCGCTCCCGGGCCACGCCCCCATCCCACGGACCCACTATTTGTCCAATAACCCACTATATATTTTTTTAAATTTTTCCGCAGTTCGTTCGACGCGCAGCAATTGGACACGGTCCCGCCGCCAATCTGTCGGATGGGGATTCGGGTCGTATTTTCGATAGATGTTTTCATTAAAGTTCCTGTCGTGATGAAAACCATTTATCTGTAGCACCGAGCGCCATCCCATAATTCCACTGTCCACGAACCCACTATGTGTCCAATAACCCACTATTTTTGAATTGTACTAACCCCAGCCTTTATGCAATAAGCTGCAAATGGACAGAATCCCACCTGCAATCTATCCCACTGTCCAAGAACCCACTATTTGTCCAATAACCCGCTATTTTCAAATGTACTAACCCCAGCCATCATGCAATAAGCTGCAAATGGACAGAATCCCACCTGCAATTTATCCCACTGTCCACAAACCCACTATTTGTCCAATAACCCACTATTTGTCAAATGTACTACCCGAAAACCCATTGAATAGATTGCCGGCAGGATTCTGTCCATTTACAGCTTATTGCATGACGGTCGGGGTTAGTACATTTAAAAAATAGTGGGTTATTGGACAAATAGTGGGTATTTGGACAGTGTTTTTTAAGCTTAGCTTTCAAAATATTTGGATGAAAACCATGTATCTGCACTCAGCTGGGGCCCCTGAGTCTTTAGAACCAAGCGCCATCCCATAATTCCACTGTCCACGAACCCACTATGTGTCCAATAACCCACTGTTTTTGAAATATACTACCCGAAAACCCATTGAATAGATTGACGGCGGGATTCTGTCCATTTGCAGCTTATTGCATGATGGTCGGGGTTAGTAAATTTGAAAAATAGTGGGTTATTGGACAAATAGTTGGTATTTGGACAGTGGTTTTTAAGCTTAGCTTTCCAAATATTTGGATGAAAACTACTTTCCTGCACTCAGCTGGGGCCCCTGAGTCCGTAGCACCAAGCACCATCCCATAATTCCACTGTCCACGAACCCACTATGTGTCCAATAACCCACTATTTTTCAAATGTACTAACTCCAGCCTCCATGCAATAAGCTGCAAATGGACAGAATCCCGCCTGCCATCGATTGAATGGGGATTTGGCGCCGTCCCCAAATTCCACCGTCCACGAACCCACTATTTTTATAATGGGACAAATGCTATGTGGGATCTCGATATCTCAGCTCTGGGAGGGTCTCCGATCTTCCTGAAACTCGGGATTCGGATAGAGGGCCTTGGGACTTAGACCTGAGTGCAAAAATGGAGGCTCTAGACCCTTCCTGAGCTGAGATATCGAAATCCCATGTAGCATTTATATTTAATAAGTCACTTCAGTTACATCGGGTCCCTCACCTATGGAAAGAGTCAGTGATTGTGCCTGTGCCAAAGATAAATGTACCCAAATCACTCAACGATTTTAGGCCAGTGGCTCTTACCTCTCTTATTATGAAATCCTTAGAGAAAATTATTAAACAGGAGATTATAGCAATGACAAAGTCTCAACTTGATCCCTTACAATTTGCCTATAGAGCAGGTAGAGGAGTTGAGGATGCATTAGGCAGCCTGCTAAATACAGTCTTTAATCATTTGGAAGGGGCAAACAAATTTGTGCGATTATTATTTATTGATTTTTCATCAGCTTTTAACTGCATTCAACCCCACATTTTAGCAGATAGACTTTTAAAGAACTACAACATTAACCCAGGTCTAACAGCCTGGTTAGTTGACTTTTTAACTTTAAGATCTCAAAAAGTTAAGGTTAATGGTTTCTTATCTGGTAAACTTTTATCTTCTACTGGCTTCCCCCAAGGATGTGTCCTCTCTCCTCTTCTTTTTGTGTTATACACAAATGAATGCCATTGTGTCTCTTTTAAATGAAAATGTGATTGATCATGGACCAATATTGAAGGATTTTAATGAGTGGTGTAAGTGTTCCTTTTTAAATAATGTGTCCAAACGAAAGAACTAACTATAGATTTTAGGAAACAGAGGCCATGTCTCCCCCTTACTATCATTGATGGCCAGCCCATCGAGTAGGTACAGGAATACAAGTACCTTGGTACAACAATTGACAGTAAGCTATGTTTTGATTCTCACATTGATGCTGTTTGTGCTAAAGCCCAGCAACGAATGTATTTTCTTCGTAGATTGAGGAATTTTAACATTGACCGCACCTTGATGAAAATGTTTTATTCCTGTTTTCTTGAGTCTGTTTTAACTTTTTGTTTTATCTGTTGGTTTGGTTCCTTGTCTGCAAGGAACAAAAACCGACTAGAGAGCATTGTCAGAACATGTAGCAAGATTGCAGGTATTAACTTTCCTCCCCTCTCCCACATCTACTCCAACAGAGTAGCCAAGAAGCTCTAGCTATTGCAGCTGACCCCAGCCATCCTTTGTCCTGCCAGTTTAAGCTACTCCCCTCAGGTCGTAGGTACTCCATGCCCAAATGCAGGTCAAATAGATATAGAAACTCTTTTATCCCGACTTCGATCTCAATATTAAATAAACTACCAGAACTGTTTTAATGTACTTCTATTTAATTAATTTATTTTTTCTATGTATTTTTGGGGACTGTGTGTTTTATACCTTGTGTTAATGTTGCGTGTTGTGCCTTGTGTTTTTTCTGCTGGCTGTACAAATAATTGCCCTCCGGGGACAATAAAGTAACCTTAACCTTAACCATTTGTGCCATTATAAAAATAGTGGGTTAGTGGACGGTGGAATTATGGGATGGCGCTTGGTGCCGCGGACTCAGGGGGCCGCCCTGAGTGCAGTAATATAGTTTTTATCATGAAAAAAATGGTCCAAAAAAAAAAAAAATACCATACCCAAATCCCCATTCAATTGACTGCAGGCGGGATTGTGTCCATTTGCAGCTTATTGCATGAAGGTCTGGGTTAGTACATTTCAAAAATAGTGGGTTATTGGACAAATAGTGGGTTTTTGGACAGTGGTTTTTAAGCTTAGCTTTCAAGATATTTGGATGAAAACTGTTTATCTGCACTCAGCTGGGGCCCCTGAGTCTGTAGAACCAAGTGCCGTCCCGTAATTCCACTGTCCACGAACCCACTATTTGTCCAATAACCAACTGTCCAAGAACCCACTTTTTGTCCAATAACCCACTATTTTCAAATGTACTAACCCCAGCCTTCATGCAATAAGCTGCAAATGGACAGAATCCCACCTGCAATCTATCCCACTGTCCAAGAACCCACTATTTGTCCAATAACCGACTGTTTTTCAAATGTACTAACCCCAGCCTTCATGCAATAAGCTGCAAATGGACAGAATCCCACCTGCAATCTATCCCACTGTCCAATAACCCACTATTTGTCCAATAACCAACTGTCCAAGAACCCACTATGTGTCCAATAACCCACTATTTTTTAAATATACTACCTGAAAACCCATTGAATAGATTGCAGGCGGGATTCTGTCCATTTGCAGCTTATTGCATGAAGGTCAGGGTTAGTACATCTCAAAAATAGTGGGTTATTGGACAGTGGTTTTTAAGCTTAGCTTTCAAAATATTTGGATGAAAACTACTTTCCTGCACTCAGCTGGGGCCCCTGAGTCCGTATCACCAAGCACCATCCCATAATTCCACTGTCCAAGAACCCACTATGTCTCCAATAACCCACAATTTTTGAAATATACTACCCGAAAACCCATTCAAAAGATTGCAGGCGGGATTGTGTCCATTTGCAGCTTATGTGTTGAAGGCCAGTGAGCATAAACCCTAAAGTTTGAACGGCTATAACTCTGGGACCAAGCCGCCCAGATGCACCAAACTCGGGTCAACTTGGGGTCCCTAGAGGCCCTCTCCAACGGGCCCTAGCCCGAGACTCTAGCGCCCCCACAGGCCGAGATATGGGGCCCAACAGAAAAGGGGTCACTTCAGAAGGAAGAGTCCCAGAACCTCGAGACTCTGGGGTCTGAGAGGGCCCCTAGGGGCCACTCATCACCCCAAAGGACGAACCACTGGGACTCGACATTTCCGAGATATTGACCGTTTTGTCCAAAAATTCCTTATGTATAACGGGGTGTATCTCGGGAACCAAACCGAGTTGGAGCTCAAAACTCCGGATGTGGGGAGCCCCTATGGGTCCCCTTCAGACCCCCAAGTTTCGAGGTCCTGGACCCTTCCGTTTCTGAGATACGGGAACTTCCTGTCCAGATTTGACCAGATGTATCTCGGGAACCGAGCCGAGTTGGAACTCCAAACTCGGTGTGTGGGGAGATACCAATGGGCCCTCCAATACCCCAAAGTTTGAAGCCCAAAGTCGGCGTTGTTCCGGAGTTATTCGCGTTCAAAGATGGACCTGGTGAAGGCTCAGGGTCGTGACGTCATCACCGTGCGCCATTATGACACGTGGTCGACGGTTTTCGGCCAATATCTCAGCGAAAACGTAACCAAATTTGATAAAAC